ATTTGTAATTTCACAGTATTTTCACCTCCTCAATTACACATGTGAAGTCACAATTCTGTAATGGTACAATTTACTCAGGCCGATGACATTTTTTGTATGACATTAAAAGTATTTTTTAGAATAATTGTACATAAATAGGTTAAGCAAAACAATTGTGATTATTTCTGAGAACTTTTTAACTGCAGGCAGTTAGGCCTACATTATGGTACAGTACAAATATCTGGAACGTCCCTTATGCTGTCCCTTATTTTCTTAAAGAATAAACACTGTTTTCTTAAAGAATAAGATAAAGAATCACAATTGTCCCTTATTTTCCATTTCTTATGTTAATTGGCAATGATGACGTAATTATCTTTTGACTCCCCTGACAGCGGAACCTTGCTCAAAAAAAAAAAGTAATTGTTGGAGATATGCAAGCAAAAAATTATAGATAAAAAATGCATAATAAAAAGCGCAAAGGCAGCACTGAAAAGGCTAGTAAAAAAAAACAAAACAAAAAAACAAAGTGGGCTGGTCTAAGGCATGAAGGCACAACCATCAATTAGGTGGCGATATGCACTAAGCATGTAAACGACCATTGAACAAAAGAAGAAGAAACAGCATGGCGCGCTTTTTATTAGCGTCTGTTTCCATAGCGACACGTCGATCGATATGCAAGCAAAAAATTATAGATAATAAATGCATAATAAAAAGCGCAAAGGCAGCACTGAAAAGGCTAGTAAAAAAAACAAAACAAAAAAACAAAGTGGGCTGGTCTAAGGCATGAAGGCACAACCATCAATTAGGTGGCGATATGCACTAAGCATGTAAACGAGTCACACAGTATGCTTGCATGGAGAAGTGAGCCAACTTTGTTCTCTCCCTCTGGAGTGGAATAACTGGTTTTAGGATCTCCCAAACAAAGACGGGATTCAGCAGTCCAGATTACCTGTTTCCTTTTGCTCTCTTGCTTGTTGGTTCAAAGCCAAAGTTGTCAAAATTGTCCCAGAGGAGACTCATATTGCTCAGAGGCTGCTCTTTCATAGCTCAGCTCTTCTGAGCTCTTATATTATTAATAACATTTGTTAAATGACCAATAAATTGAACGAAAAAAGACAAATGAGTCAATAGTTGATATACTACCTCTACCTCACTATGTGGGAAGATTTGCATAACACCGCCCAAATGTTCACGCAAAGAAAGAAGGCGTAACTTTTAGTCTCACTGTAGTTTTGTTGACGCTGCAGCCATGTCGTGAAGACGCTGTGTGCTTCGTTGTGAAAGCGAAACTACTTTGGTCTTCCAAAAGAGGACGATATCTGCTTCGTCATGCCTAGAGCTGATCTGTGCTGGTCGCTGAGGGAATACATCATATATATCATTATAAATACATTGATTTATAATTGATTAATGTGTGTTTGTGTATATATATTTATGCAACAGTTCTTTCTGGTCCTTGAATCTGATTGGCTGAGAGGAGTGCGATATTCTAGTGAAAAGAGAACTCCAACCGTTTCACTGTTTGTATCACTCTGCTTGCCGTATTTCTCACAGCGAGTGTCATGGCGGACGCCCAAATCCACTGTAATTTAAAAATAATACTGTTTTTGTGTCACGGAATGTAGTTTTAAGAGTTTTTTAGGCGTTAATGTACTTGTTTAGACTTCAAATATGCGGTTTGTTAATAAAAATAACATCTATTTGAAAATTTGCTCTGATGTTTTAGGAGATGTGAGCTCCAGGGCGTCAGCGATAATCAGCGTTCAGCGCTCATGAACCCGCCGAGAGCAGCCTCACCTCGGCCAGATCTTCTGGAATTAGCCGCTGGCTCTGATGTCTCTATAGTGGTTAAACATGAGAGATAATTCATTTTGGGTAAATCTAGTGGGCGGTCTTTGGTCTCATTAATCTATTATTTGTTCCAGAGCAAATAGTTTTGGCTGAGGGCAAAATCTCATCACGTTATATTTTATGTAACTTCAATGTTGTATATCAGAGTGCTGACTTTGTACTTTTGACTAGCAACATTTATGATATGCTGTTGTTGTTGTTGTTGTTTATTATTCAATAAATAATATTTTATATACATAATAGTAGTATTTAGTATTGGGAAACAGTGTTCGTGATGGGGATTTTAGTTACATTGTTCCGCCATTAGATGGTGACAAGAGACTGTTTTTCTGAGTGAGTCAGCTTTAAAGACTTTTATATTGAAAGAGACTGAAACAGAAGCTATATTTACTTTTAATAACAGCTTGTAAGACGCAGTTAACAAATGCACTGAGCAGCGCTGTAATCAGAAATCACCCATAACAGATGAAAGGACAGTACGACAAAGATATCGCTTTCCTCAGCGCACATTGATACTAATGTTTTATTGTGAATATGAGGTTGAGCTGAAGAATTAATGCTGTGTCAGATGCAGGTAATCACACTCGCTCAGTTCATCTCTCATAATATTCTACATATAATACAGAGAGCTTTTAATACAGTAATACAATACGCTTTTAATGAAGCAACTCAACGTTCCTTTGTTACTAGTTTAAAGTAACGTTTCTGAATTAGTAACAGATCTTGAGCTGTTAAACTGTCTAACTGAGATTTGAATCTGTGGTGGAAGGAAGTAGTTTCCGCACAAAAGAGGGTTTTTAAAGACACTCCGTTGTTGTTTCTTATGTATTTACACACTCATGCCGTCGAACTGTTGTATAAACGCAAAATATCACACTCGTAGCTGTGCGATATGGCTGTATATCGGCACGCTGTGATTACCTGCGGCTTCGTGTGATATTGCTCGTGTTTGTGTTATACTGTTTTTAGAAATTCTGGTTTCAATTTTAGTTATTTTAGTACATCAAGTTAAACTAAATGAAAGAGAAATGTTGACAAGAAAACTGTGAAGAAAACCAATGATAGTGAACAAATTGATGTTTTGACCAAAACATGTCGCCGTTCTCTCAACCAGTTTTGTGGTGCATTCTGGGATGCTTTTTAAAACCAGAGCTTCCTAGTTCTATGTTTAGATTCTGCCTAACATGATTGTGTCTGAATAGGTGAATCCACTTCTCGAGGCCTTTGGAAACGCTCAGACGGTCATGAATGACAACAGCAGTCGCTTCGGGAAATACATCCAGCTCCGCTTCCAGAACTCTTCAGGTTTGTTTACGACAGACAGAAAAGATAACACTCTTCCCACTGACCGTAATGGATCATATAACTTCCATTGGGCGTGTTTCTAGACCAATAAAACAATTCAGTATTCTCTGATTGAACATTAACCTAAATTTCGATATCTTCATAGTAAAAGGGGCCAAAATCAATGAGTACCTCCTGGAGAAATCCCGTGTGGTTCATCAGGACGAGGGTGAGCAGAACTTCCATATCTTCTACTTCATGTTGGCCGGCATCTCCACGGAGGATAAAGAGATATACGGCCTCCTGGACCCCACGCGCTACCGGTGAGTCATCTGTGATGTCATGTGCTTTTGAAACCGGATCAGCAACATTGTTCACGCTGCAGGTCATAGATTAGCATCTTATCCATGCAGTTTATTGAAGATGTGTCACACGACGCCCCTCTCACAGAACTATCTGTGGCACGGACGGCATGTTTCTTAGTACGGTGTTCATTGTGTAAAAGGTCGATACAAAACATTGTCAGGTAATGCAAAGATCTGATTGGTTGAGACACATTTGAAAACACTCAAGGTTGTGCATTACAGTGATTTTAACAAATTCACTAGATTGACAAGGCTTGAGTTACACACAAAAGTATTAAAAAATAGTATTTAGTATCATACTATTGTAGTTTTTATCAATATTTTGAATCTTTTATTTTTTTATATATTTTCCGTTTTCATTTTAATTTATGTAAAAGTTTTCGAAATTTTGTTGTGTGTTTTTCATTTTTAGCAGTTTTATATATATATATGTCTATATAGTTTCTCTTTTTATTTCAGTTTTAGTTATTTTAGTACATCAAGTAAAACTAAATTAAAATTTAGAAACTAGCTGAAATAAGTTTTTTATATTTAATTTTATTTCAGTTAACATTTATTTTATTTCAAGTAACGAAAATGGTTTTATGGTTTTAATATATTAATTATAATATATTAATTTTAATAATTCTGGTTGGAAATCAAATTGACCCCTATTGGTTTCTATGCAAATCACCAAAAATTAACACTAAATAAAAATGCTAAAGAATAAAAATACTAAAGAATTGTGCAAAGCCATAAAACCACTATTGCATCTAAAATATATAAAATATGAGAAATTATGAACATTTACATAGTTATAAAGTATTAATAGTAATATATAAAATTAATAGTATCTAATAAAATAATTTATATCTATTTGTACTTGTTATAAAGAGCCTGTTCTATTTATGTCTGTTTTCAAACCCTTATGAGGGTAAAATGGGTTTCTCACACTTATTTTCCGTACAACAGTCTAGTAATTGAGATCCTAAAAACTAAACTAACAAAACACAGATTTGTTGAGAGTGACTTTATATATTTATATGAAGAGACAGCGATTTCTCCTTGGATGATTCAGAAGAAGAGCCTTCACTTTCAAATAAACGTCCAGTTTTAAATTGTATAAGTTCTCGTGTATTTGATGTTTTAGTTTTTGAGAAGCTACAATAAAGCCTTTTTGTGTTGGTTTTCAGCTAATTGCATGGAAGCCAATGGGGTTCCTATTTAACCCGTAACACCATTGTATTCACTAAATACTGTCTTTCCAAATGACATCTGCTTATCAAAACTTTGCATGCACTTAGTTTAACCAGTGTTTCAAGCTGTTTAAAAATCTAAATCTGCAAAACTAATCTGCAATACAATATTAATCACATTTCTGAAAAACCAGCAGTACGCTGAAATCTTTTTGCTCTTGTCAGTTATTTGAATGGGAGGTTTGGGAAGGAAGACATGGTTCAGGCCTGGCGTCTGAAATATGCTGAAGTGTGTAACGCCATGGACATGGTGGGATTTGAGGAGCAGGTAAGAACAAAACCTTCCTTGTGTGTGTCCTGTGGTTTGAAATGCTTTTATATAACATTTACTCATTAAATAAGATGCTACATTGAATATGTGTACTTTAAAAAGATCATTTCACATACCACAGTACCATAAAGTTAATGGTGTTTAAAAATGGTGCAGTATTTGCAATGTATGTTACAGATTTTGATTTGTAGACCAGGATTTCTGCAGGCCATAAGAAGTCTTAATTTGGCCCTTCCACAAATGAAGCCTTTAAAAAGGTGTTAAATCGAAGCAGAAAGTGTTAAATTGGCATTAAATGTTGCAAAATTAATATTTTCTTCAGTATTTTTGTTTTGTTTTCTAAATGTAATATCGAAGCACCCTTAAATCAAGATACATTTACTTGAGATGCGAAAGGAAGATAAGATGTCTTGTTTTCTGAGAAACTGAGCAAAATGAAGTGAGTTTATGATTAAAACGAGAACAAATATCTGTCAGTGGAGACTTATTTTCCTTTTGAATTCAGCTGATTTTTTTAGAGCCCACTGGCAGATATTTGTTCTCGTTTTAATCATAAACTCACTTCATTTTGATACATTTCTCATTAAACAAATCTTTTGTCATTTTGCTTCTCAAGTAAATGTTTATTAAAAATCTTTAGACATTTGCACTTGAAAACAAGACAGATTTTTTT